ACAGCCTGTAAACGTCTGCGAAGTGAGGAGACCAATTGCTGGAGTTTCGGGAGAGGAATGTTGTCCCATTGTTGTCTGACGTAGGATTCTAGCTGCTCAACAGTCCTGGGTGTACTTCGCCGGATTTTTCGTTTCATGATGCGCCAAATGTTTTCTATTGGTGAAAGGTCTAGACAAAAGGCAGGTCTGTTCATCTATCTGCCATCTTGCTTCCTAGCTGTGTTTTCTAGGTGGTAGTACTGTCAAATTGATACACTACACTGTTGGCTGTGTTCACATATAAAGGCAAATGAGCATAGTTTACCCCCTTATTGTCCCCTTTTGCTCATATAGTGCTTTCTATGACTATTGACACCCTTAATTTAAATAAACAAAATAAATTAAATTTACTTTATTTTTATGAAGAGTTTTCTTACTGCCATGAGATAGTAAACATTTCTTTATGATACCATTGATCAGGTGAAAAATATATTTTTGTCCATGCTTTACCAGAACAACAGCACTCAGTCTTCTCCCGTGTTTGATGAAATAGGAGAACACAAAGGAATTTCAAGGTCTGAAACATTACATAATAAGAAAGGGATTCCAGTACTAGAGTCGTGTGCAAAGGTTTGAACACATCCACTAAATAGAGCAAACGAGAGTGTGCCATTTTTCTGCTGCGTTTAACATATTGGAAACAGTGGAAAATGCACCATAACTTTTGCACACACACACTTTATTTAATGGTCCTGTAGAGATGATCTATAGGTACTTTCTGGTGATAGTTGATTGTCAACAACATTAGGGTAAGGTTTAGGAGTATGTGTAGGTTTTGTGTTAAAGTTAGGGTTAGGTTTAAAGTTAGAGGTAGATTTAATAGACTCTAAACTTCAAGTTCGGTTGCATTTAATAGATATTTAGTTGAATGTTAGGGTTAGGTTTACAGTAGACTATCACAACTGCACTTTGGAATTTCATAGCTGAATATGTTAATGCATGGTTAAGATTAAGATAAGCTTATCTCAAAACTAATGTAACACAATGTCTCGGGCATCAGACAGTGCATTCATAAAAATTTCATTTCATGAATACTCTGAAGTTTAATTTCTGCAGTTTATATGTTCCCCTTTAACGAGAACACATTGTCCTTGATGCTGAGTCTCATTTTCTGCACATTGTCTTACATCGTTTTCCTACAATTTGCCTATGTTTATTTTCCATTCTAATGAGGGCTGAGAGTCCATTCTCACACATGTATTAACAGGATGATTTGCCAAGACTAGATACTCTGCGCACAACACTGTCCAATGAATTTGGCACTGGATTTTGATTAAACTCAATTTTCCAGACCCCCTTGAAGCTATTTCAGTGAGGCTCTCTTACTCAGGAGTTGCTTAGTGTTGTCTGTTTCAAGGATGTTTCTATGCAATTGTATGAGCAGATAATGTAATAAACTGAAACAAAATGAAGTGTAAATGTAACTAAGTAACTAAGTCCGCTAGCGTCACTGGGCGAACTCCTTGACAAAGTCATATGCCAGTTTAGGAATAGGTATACTATGAGTTTTAAAGGGTTTTTTTGAACATCCCCTCACTGCCCCCCCCACTACAGTAATGCTGAAAATCCAACCTCGTCTTCATAAGGTATCAATATTAGACAACCTCATTTCCAAAAAAGTTGAGACACTGTGCAAAATGTAAATAAAAACAGAATACAATGATGTGCACATGATTTAACTCATATATAATTTGTTGAAACAAGACAACATATCTAATGTTGAAACTGAAAAAAAAAATATGAAAACTATGTGCCCGAGCTCTATTAAGATGGACTGAGGGAAGTGGAAAAGTGTCCTGTGGTCTGACGAATCAAAATTTGAAATTCATTTTTTAAAATTCATGGAAACTGCGCCCTCTGGGCTAAAGACCACCCAGCTTGTTATCAGCGCACTGTTCAAAAGCCAGCATCCATGTTGGTATGGGGTGCGTTAGTGCACATGGCATGGGTGACTTGCACATGTATGAAGGCACCATTAATGCTGAATGATATTTACAGGTTTTGGCAACATATGCTGCTATTTAGACAATGTCTTTTTCAGGGAAGGCCTTGCATATTCCAGCAAGACAATGCCAAAACACATTCTGCACATATTATAACAGCATTGCTCTAAAGAGTCCAGATGCTAAACTGGCCTGCTTGCAGTCCAGACCTGTCACCCAATAAAAAACTTTTAGTGTGTTAAAAAAACGAAAATTACGACAAAGTAGACCCCAAACTGTTGAGCAGCTGAAATCCTATCAAGCACGAACGGGAAAATATTTCACTTACAAAACTACAGCAACTGGTCTCCTCAGTTCCCAAATGCTTACAAAGTGCTGTTAAAAGAAGAGGTGATGCAACACAGTGGTAAACGTGCCCCTGTCCCAACCTTTTTGAAATGTGTTGCTTTCCTCAAATTCAAAATTGGCATATATTGTTTCAAAAAATAATAAAATATCTCAGCTTCAACATTTGATATGTTGTCTGTGTACTATTTTCATTTTAATGTAGGGTTTACATGATTTACACATCATTGCATTCTATTTTTATTTACATTTTCCAAGGCATCCTAATTTTTTTGGAAACAGGGGGTGTAATACTGTCTTTAGCCTGAAACTAGCCTAGTTTAACCATTACTTTTTCAAACTGTTTTTGGTTTACCATCATATGTAAAAGGAAATTAAGCATGTGACAGAATCTCAAGCACAGAGAAGCAAGCAACCATTTTATATAATAGAAACAAAACACTTTTGATTTGAATGCCTCATCCTCATGGACCTGGCTGGCTCTCCTCCTCTTCCTCTCGGTTTGTCATTGTCCCCCACAATTGGAACACTGGCTTGTTAAGCAATGTTTAGAACTGATAAGATTGTTACCCCCAGGCCTGGCAGACTTGATAAGCCAAATTTAGCTCTCTGATGTAGAAGAGAGATAGGAGATGTGCTTACAAGGGCTGAAAAATCACACAAATATTTCTGCGGGGTTTCTAGTTTAAATTGTGCCTTTAGCAGATGCATTGCTTCATCCAAAGCAATTTGAAGGTTTAACAATGTCAGCATTAATCCTAGACTGTGGCTGTGTACTTGTGGCTATATATATGTGTGTGTGTGTGTGTGTGTGTGTGTGTGTGTGTGTGTGTGTGTGTATAGGCATTTTCACATATAGGCATTTTCCATTTTTTCAATCTGTTTAATTTCTCATGAAATCTCATGAGTTGAAAAACCTTATTTAAAAATTCCTGTCCCATGATTTCATGTCACTACTGAAAGTACTGATCCATTGGTGGAGCCTTATTTTAGCCACACCCCTGCATTTTAGAGCTAGAAGTGAGACTGTGCTTTTGAGTTGTGCTCAAAATTTACTAAAATTTGGTAAAGTTTCGGTAGTGTCATGCTTGTTTCGATACTGATGAAAAGGACGTTCAGTCATTTATTTCAATAAAATAAGCAATATAGGGTCACTCAAAGCAAAATGATTTTAGACTAAAGTCCAAGTCCAAGTTGCTTATTTACTCTACATCTTTTTAAAATAAGGATACAAGTATTTCTGTGTGAGAAAAGTAGTGATTCATTTGCCATAAAAGTAAGAGAAACTGACACAATTAATATTACTGATTGTCCTTCTATACTTGCACATGCTGACCATTTTAACTGGTCATTTGCTTTAGTAGACCCTTGACTTTGCATGTTTTACCTTGTCTGCTCTCACTAGTCTTGATAAACAGTTATAAGTGCCAAAGTGACACATATGTACATATGCATTTGCATCACATTTTGCCTATTCAAACATCCTCTGAGGACGCTGTGTGTCCTCCAAACATGAGTAGCTAAAAGTAGAGTGGAGAGCCACAGCTGGTACACGGGCAGTGGGACAGGGCCTCGCTGTTGTTCTGTCATTCTCTAAGACTCCTTAAGGGCCTCCGGCCACTGGGGACACGGTGAGTCAATTAGATATAAAACAAGAAAAAAAACCTCCAAGAGATCTTGACATTTATCATCTTGAGGGGAATAGTCATGGTTGTGATGAGTCACACTGAACTCAGCTGTGTTGATTGCAAACTTTGTATGCAGTGAACAGGATTTTGTCAGATTCAAGATTCATACTATGTAAAACACTTTTTGATTATTCATTAATGAGGCACAGTCATTGCATTTGGATTTCAAAATTTTGAAAACTGGTTCAAACAGCTGATATGATTTTAAACGTCTCAAACGTCTCATTGAGTATAGTTTTAATATAAAACAAGAATATTAGTTCATGTGTCTGGTTATATTAAGCATTCATTGTGTCATTGTGTCATTTAAAGGGCCCCTGTCCTACATTATTCTTGTATTTTATTTTTTTCCTTTATCCCTTTATCCCTTAGAATTAGTGATTGAAACACTTTTTTTAACTTCCGCTTGAAAGGGTGAAGCTAAACTGCTGTAGACAGAATAGGTGGATATATGTAAATGTGATTATGTGACATCAGAAAAACAGTGCTTTTTGTTACAGTTTAGTTTCCATATATGGATTGTATGGACTGGGGAGAGAACAGCATTTTTTGAAACAATGTCTATTTGCTACATCAAACTCAAAAAGTGAGAACAATTGAGTTTCCCATGTTACAGGCCCTTTAAAAGATAAAATTCTTGTTTTTTTTTTTTCATAATCTTGTCCTTCTCTAAAACATATTTTTTTTATTATATCTCTGATGTTTGATTATATCACAATTATCATTATCACAATGTACCAGAGGGTGAGGAAAAATAATAGTAAGCAATAATATCATGTTTCAAAACATTGGATGAAACGCTCAGGTAGTTCAGATACCCTCCCTGACAGTTAGGAAATGTGTCAGAAAAATGTTACAGTACAACTGGAAAATGGGTTGTGATTTCCAATTCAGGTCGACTTTAATATCAACTGATTTTGATGTATCGGTCAGGCCCTAGTGCTACTGCTAAATAGTACTGAATCAATGTGTTACTTTGCTACAGCTAGGAATGGAGCAGCAAAGCCAGACAAGGGTTGATGTTCCTACGTTGTCAGCAGAGCCAGCAGCTCCCAAAGAGGACTCTACCCCTGTTCTTGCTTTAGAGAATGCTGCCTCCACATCCAGTTCACCTCCAACAGCTCCAACAAGGCCAAGGAGGCCACAGAGGACCCCCCGGGTGGAAGGATCCATCGACGTATCAGAGCCCAAACCTCCAGAGTCCCCAAAACATAGCCAAGAGAAGCCCGACTCCCCTGCTCAGAGTGCTCAAATCAAGCCTGTCCGACCCTCAGGTCCAGCACACCAGCTCTATGCTGACACACCCTATGGCCCGTCCATTTTGGCTGGACACAAATCAGCTGGGCATGGAGCTGGAGCTAGAAGCCACATCTCCATGAGAACAACTTCACTGCCTCAAGCTCCTTCCTACAAACCGCCATCCACAGATCCTGGCTCTCATCCTCACAGGGCACTCTCTGTGGCTGGAACAGCTGATACTGAGCCTCAGGTTGTGGAGGACTTCAGGTAATTTGAAGCAAGATTCTGATATAATTTCAATCCTAATTTGAATCTGTTTTTTTGCTTTATTGGAATCAGTTTTGACTACTTGAGGTGAACTAATTCACAATTTGTGTTCTGATACAGTGGTGTCTTGACTGTCAATTTTTCAATACATCAGCAATAAGGAGTGGGTAGAGGAATGTATCCATTTGCAGTTTTTTACAGCATTCATTTCAATGTGTGAAACAAAAGCTGTGCTTTATAGTGTCCTGATCTGATGCTTTAGCTGCAAGGTAATACACTGTATGGCCTAAAGTATGTAGAAACCCCTCCAAACCATCGAGTTTGAGTGTTTCAGCCACATTCATTGTCAACAGATGTATGAAATCATGCACATAGCCATGCAATCTCCACAGACAAACGTTAGCAGTAGAATGGGTCATACTGAAGAGTAACTCTAAGATTGACTTTGAACCTGGCACTATCATAGGATGCCACTTTTGCAAAGTCAGGCGCAACTCCATAATAATGGCTATGGTTTTGGGAGGGATGTCCAACGAGCTCATATAAGTCTGATGATCAGGTGTCCACATACTTTTGGCCTCTAGTGTACCCAAGATAACACACTAGCAAGAAACTAAAATTCGTCATGATAAATGATACAATATAATATGAAACAATATTGTCCCTGACGGAGCAAAACCTTTTATCTCCGCTCATTTTGTTTTTCATTTTTTTTAACATAATTAAAAATTTGGGCAGTCCTGTACACCATGTGAAGATAGAAATGAACCAATAGACATGGTCCAAAATTACTTGGAATAAATTCTCTTTACATAACTTACATTGGAAGTTTAGATGTTTTTCCTTCCCCTGTAAAAGCTAGAGTTAGAGGTTTTGATCCAACAGCGGTGATATGGTACAATACAATGTGATACAATACAATACTATTACAATATTTTTGTAGTAAAACAGAAACAAAGAGCTTTAACAAAACAGGGAATGTTTTTTGTCACTGCAACATGATGGAGAGAGCTTGGTAGCAGAATTGAAAATTTCATTTTACCTTTTGGGAAACATGTGAAATAGACCTAGTTTGGAAAATAGCAACCTTAAAAAACAGTTAAATCTATGTCCTTGTTGGAAATGTTTCTTCTGTTGAGTCAAAATACTTTTGTTGAGTTAAAATATATTTCAGAAGAGCAGGCTCAGGTACGTCCTCTAATATCCATCATTATTAAGAAATGTATTTGAATACATTTGAATACATCTGTCCATTGTGACCGCTAAACATTTTACCAGCTAGCTAATGAAGTTTGCTAAAGGGGTTTAATTTAGGACAGACTATCTGGGCTGTCAGACAGGTTGGAGCTGGAGCTTCTGCCAACACACAAGGGATGGGAGCCATCAAAACCCATTAGATCTATTTATATTCAATTCTGTAGTAAAGATTTTTGGTAACCAGATGCCCTTGCAGATCTCAAAGCATGTGGTAACAAGATTAATCTTTCTTCTTCAGCCACAGAGCTCTAGGTGTTCTTTATTTAAGTATGCATATTTTTATCATTGCATGATTCAAGTCATTGTAGTAATGCACCATGATATTTCAAGACCTTTTGGTTATCAGATTTATGAGCTAGCAATTGACAGCTGTCTGATGTATTTTCAGTTCATTTCGCTACCAGTTTCCTAACACACAGATTTGAGGTCAGCTTTTCTCATTAAGCTTTTCGTGTTACAATATCAGCATCTTAACACAGCATCTTAATGTGTGGAACAAGCTGCCTTCTGTAAACCAAGACATGTCTCAGAGGAGCTATTAACCCTCCTACTAATGGAAGATATTTATGGATGTGCCTCTGCTTCCTCTTGGTTCTTTTTGTCTCTATCTGCCTCTCTGCCTTTCATGTGCACACGTCTCACTCCTTTCCTTTTTTTCTGCTCTCCAGAAGACTCTCTGAGGATGCAAGCGCTTCTCTAACTGTTGATTAACGGTTATGTTAATTGACTGAGAGTATGCAGTAGGAAAATAATAGAACAAAAGTACTGACCATCAAAAGGGAAACATAATCATCTCCACAGGATTAACTGAAGGAAGCTAGTGCTGGAATTGCACATTTGCACACACACCCACACACAAACACACACAACACACACACACACACACACACACACACACACACACAGAGCTATCATTTAGAAGCCGTACCATGTATTGTCTCCCATTCTACTGAATAGCTTACTGCTGTTTTTTTAGTTGCATCTTACTTTGCCGACAGAGTGCACATAACCACATGGAACGTGGGCTCAGCTGTGCCTCCAGATGACATCACTGCCTTGCTGGGGCTGAATGTTGGCGATGGAAACACAGACATGTACATTATAGGGTAAGTGTCTCTGTGTCTCCTCCCCCTGTTTATCCTGCGCAGTTATCTGAAACAGAGGTGGTAAATAACTCTATGTAAACCACAATGAAAAAAAGTAGAATGAGCTCTTTCACCAGACACATGCAGAGAGCACACTGGAAAAAGTAATGCACTAAATTTACTTGATTTACACATGAATAAAATACAAAGTTGTATGCAAGAGGACCCCGATTATATTATGTTTTGGGTATGAAGTGAAAATAAATTACCTCATCCTCTACAGGGAACAAACTTAAATATTTTCTGCAAATTTTAGTGCACAGTTTCTGTTTATTTGCTGTGGAGAAAAAAAAAAACAAAAACAAAATAAAAGGCACAGTAAATGTGTCTTTTGCATGGGCAACATTATATATAAGATATTTAAGATACAGATAGGTAACAAGTTAAAGGGAAAAACCTGAATAAATCAGTGAAGAAAGACATTGGGCCTCATTCATCAAAGTTGCATACAGTCATATCTGATCAGAAAATAGGCACACACAGGTTTTGCTGACAGTTTTGTTGTTCATCAGTTTCATCTTCAGTGTATCTGAATGGTCAAACTCATGTCTGGTAGAAGTGCATATAAATTTGAGGGTAATACTCCAATAGTTTGGAGTTAACTAACCAAAACTATTATCAATATCATCTATAATACTAATAAGAATAAAAATATAAAAGAACTATACTAATAATTTGTGCACATGGCAATTCAGCATAAAAGTGGATGTGCTTATTTTACATACACATTTGTATAAACAAATGTTGCAACTATTCCATGTTCCATTTAAAGACATATTACACTGTGCTTTTGTTTTATACTACTGACACCACCAAAAAAATAAAATAATACAAGCACAGCTAGTGCAGGAACATGTCAAACACTGCAATAATTCAGCGTTTTTGTTTTTCCTTTGTCATTTTAGTAAATAATCACACTACGCAATCACACATTAGTTTTTGTGTGAAAATTAATGCCTTTTTGAACACCGTAGGTCCAAGCACAATGCACCAGTATGAAACCTTATGAGTCAGTGCAGCCTTTTAGGAGATAGAACACACATGATGGCCAGTCAGAGTTTTTAGAATGGCCTCTACTTATAGTTATTGTTGATAAGGGGTTTCAAAATAAAATTTGTACCAGATTGATCTTTTGACTTTGGCATGATAAACAACAATTTTTTAACAAATAAGGCAAACAAGGAAAAAGCCCCAGAGGACAGTATAGTGTTTAACTATATTGCATATGATCTAATGTACTGGATCTTTCTACCTCTTGTTTTAGTTGAAGAACATGTAGTCTCAGCGTGCAGATTTTTTTTCTGTTTTCAGTTTTTTTTCCTGTTAAAATCACTCCTGTGGAGCAAAGCTTGATTTCTGAACTTCATGGCTTGAGTTTACATGTCCAAACTCAAACAAATTTGAATCAGTAATATGTATAAAAATCCTGGGCAGGACCAGATGACCACAATTTTATATCAAGATGGCGAGAGAAGAAATTCTAAGTGACTTTGAAATAGGGTTAATTACAATAAAAAATCTATAATATAATCTAATAATATATAATAATAACTTTTTTCCTCATAAAACAGTTTTATAACAACTTCTTTATAATTATTATTTATTTTATAATAAATATAATCAATCATTTTTTGTTTTTCCCCAGTTAAAGTCATCAAATAAACAGTAATTGTGCATTAAAATATACAGAATTGTGTTCTCTGTAGAGGATGAGAGTACTTTCTTTCACATAAAACATAATCTGACCAGGAGCACCCAAGTTTTGCATATGATTGCATTACATCAATACAATCACACAATTTTGCCTCTCAATTTATGTATTCTTGCTTTTTTCAGTACATATTGTCTATAAAGGGCTTACATAAGATAAGCTATCTATGTAAACAACCTTGACCTCAGCAAATGACTTACGACACTATGCTCAGAATGTGTCATGATCATACAAACCCAATTCCCAAAACGTTGGGACAGTGAAATGCCAGTAAAAACAGAAAACAGTGATTAGTGAATTCTGTTTTACCTGTATTATATTGAAAACAGTACAAAAACACAATATTTGATGTCCCTGCTGTTATAACATTTACATAATGTTTTTGGCATGGTCACGTTGAAATAAGCACTATTGTCCCTGAAAAAGACAGTGTCTAAAGAGCAGCATACATTGCTCCAAAATGTGTACATATCTTTTGGGGTTCATAATTCTTTCACAGATGTGCAAGGACGCCCACTTTTGAACTTTTACGTGGGTAACAATATGGATGGTCTTTATTTCTTTGGCCAAGAAAACATGGTGTGCATTATTTCCATAAACAGTCTAAAAGATTGACTCATCACAACACAATACACATTTCCAGTGTGCATCTTCTTTCTGGACGTTGTTAACATAGGGACTTCCACTGTGCGTAGTACAAGGCTTAACTTCCATTTGTGAATGCAGCTATGAACAGTGTTTACTGACAAGAGTTTGCCAAGTATTCTCCCAAGCTCATGTGGTGATATCCATCACAGAAGCATGCAGGCTTTTCATGCAGAGCTCTCTGAGGGGTCGAAGGTCATGGGCATTCAGTTTTGGTTTTTGGACTTGCTTTTTACACACAGTGATTTTTCTGGATTCCCTGAATTTTTTGTAGAGGGTGAAATACCTAAAGTCCTTGCAATCCCTGGCTGCCGAATGTTATTTTTTGAACAGTTGGACATTTGCTGATGCATGAACTGGTGAGCCCCAACCCATTCTTGCTCATAACAGACTAGGCTTTTCCTGTATGCTCCTATTATAGCCAAACATTACATCCCCCTTTTTAGAACGTTTTCTGAACACTTAACAATGTTAAATTGCTCCACAATTTTTTTGAACATGTTGCAGGCATCAGTTTCAAAACAAGCATATATTTACAATTAATGAAGTTTATAGGATAAAACATAAAATATCTTGTCTTTGTTCTGCTTTTGTTTAAATGCAGGTCAAATTTGATTTACAAACCACTGCTTTCTGTTTTTACTTGCATTTCACATACTGTCGCAACTTTTTTGGAATTAGGTTTGAATAATGCGGTGTTCCACTTGCGTGCATTTTGATTTACATGCCATTTTTACAATGTTCTTGTTAATTCACTAAGCGTGTGTGTTCCAGTTGCTCTCTCTCATTTCTTCATTCCTCTCTGTCCTCTCCTGCCAGGTTACAGGAAGTGAACTCTATGATCAATAAGCGACTGAAAGATGTTCTCTTCACTGACCAGTGGAGCGAGGTCTGCATGGACACACTCAGCCCCTTTGGATACGTGTTGGTCAGTTTGTATTCTTATCTTCTTAGGGTGTTCCTATTATGTAATAATAATATGCCCCATGTATGTTATAAATATATGTAAGTGGCAGTATGTAAGAACAGTAATTCCCATATGTATTCTATATACACTAATGTACAAAAGTCTTGGACACCCAAGAAAGTTGTTTAGAAGTATTTATCTTGACCATAAGTTTACTAAATAGTAAAAACTTTATATAACATTCAAATAAATATGAATAATCATAAATACAGTTATGTAATAATAATGTAATAATAAGTTATGTAATAAGATTTTTTGGGGGGTTTAACTCTTTTCACAGTAGCCATAAAATGTTGTTTCAGTGTGTTTTGGAGGTTCACCAGTTCAGCCTTGAATTTAAATATTTTTAAATGCGTCTGAACATTTCAAAACATTCTAATTCAATTTTAATTATTTTTTAAATATTTATTTGATCATATTAAAAATATTTATATATATTATATATAAATATATTTCCATTCCAACTGCAGAGAGGGATTAGAGAAGTTACTGATATGTAGGTTAGGAGACCTAGGTTGGAAAATACTTCAGTAACTGTACTTTGTTACTATACCTAAATATTAAAAGACGTATACTCTTTGATTCATACTTTCAGTTGAATTTCTCTGTGCATCAGCCTGAAATATTAGTATATATTTTCTCTTGTAGCACTGTTTCACTGTTACTCTTTCCGTAAACATCTGCTGCTGCTGTTTTCCATTTCTAACAACCCATGGATTAGGCTGCCACTCATATTCACAGTTAGTGACATATCTAGGACATCCAGAATGCCTAGAGTAATTTTTTTTCACAAAATATGTCCCACCCATTGGAAAGTCTTATAGGAGTGCTACCTAGATATCATAGAGATAAACAATACCTGATAGTCCAATTTTCTGCTGAGTGTTTGAAGAATTTAACCCTTTTGTTTCTGTCTAAAACTTAACAATAAAATAAGAGTAGTACTGTAATATTTGCAGAGTTCCAATACAGGCATGATTCTATTGAAAGAAAAAGACCTAAAAATTACAGACATGTAATTTTTTTATTTTTTGTAGTTCCCAGAAATCATTACGCCTTTGTGGTCCACCAAACTTTATTCTTGGCACTATGCATTCTGATAGATAGTGTTCTCCTGGCATCCACCAAACCCAGATTTGTCGATCAGACTGCCAGATAGTCAAGCTTCATTCATTACTCTAGAGAATGCATTTCTACTGCTTCAGAGTCTAGAGCAGTGTGCGTTACACCTCTCCAGCCGACACTTGGCATTGTGCACTGTGGTCATAGGCTTGTGTGCAACTGCTCAGCCATGGAAACCTGTGTCATGAAGCTCCCGATGCATGGTTCTTGTGCTGATGTTGCTTCCAGAGGCTGTTGAGAAATGTATAATGAGTGATACAACACAGGATAGACAATTTTTACGCACAACGTGCTTCAGCACTCAGCGGCCTTGCTCTGTGAGTTTGCTTGGTCTACCGCTTCTGGCTGAGCTGTTGTTGCTTGTTTACTGTAGCAGATCTAGCAGGGCAGAAATTTTAGGAACTTACTTCTGGCAAAGGTGGCATCCTATGACAGCCACCTTTAAAGACACTAAGCTTATCAGTATCAGTGAAACTCATCCTATTGCCAATTTTTGTCATAGAGGGACCTCTTGATTGATTTTATACATCTGGTAGCTATAGGTGTGGCTGAAACACCTAAACTCACATTAGGAGGGGTGTCCACAGTGTATATAGTATAGTGTGTATATAGTAAGGAATTTCTAAGACTAACCTTAATCTTAACCTCACTAACCAAAAAGACATGGTTTTGCTCTTTCAGTTTTAAAAATGCTTTTAGGTCTTTTTAAAAACCACATATTTACATACTGCTTTTTCTGCTATGGTTTTCTAACATAGTCAGAATGTTTTTGTCCATAAAATGTACAAGCACACACAAACTGATTTGTAATCAGTTAGGTGTATTATGTAACCGTAGTCTTTTGGATTATGTTGAGAAATATCTTCAGCTTCATGTTGGTAATGTTGTACATGAGTGGCTTTCATTGCTGGTTGTTCTGCAAGTTCATGTCGTTCACACATAAATTAGAGTACAATTACAATTCCAGTTCTACAATTAGACCAAGGAAAAGTAAAGTGGGTTTAAGCTGTCCTTTGGGAAGCAAGCAATTTGAGAGCAGTGTGCTGCTATCACATTCAATGCTCCACATCATTATCAAAATCCTTTCCCCTGCTTTACCCACATCACACACACACAGATTGCTCTGGGGTAAAGGCTGGCATCATCACTTTTCTATCGTGGATTGTTAATGCTGTTTGACAGCTTTCAGTATTAATCCTAGTCTTTATTTCAGTAGCTATATGTATACAGCAGCACATAGGGAATATGGTTGTGAATGTGTGTGTGACTGTGTGTGTATGTGCACTTATGAATGTGAGTGCGGAGATTTTTAATGGACATGGTATATGGGCACAGACTTTGATCTATTCCCCCACACTTATGCGGGCGGTCACACTAACACAGCAAGTCCAGTTTATGGCTCAGCAGGGCCTGTTATGCAACATGATGATGCACAGTCATTGATTCTCTCTCTCTCTCACTCTGAAAAGAGTATACACTCACTACTGTAGGGCATTTCAAGCAATTTCAAGCAAAGAATACAGTGTATGTATGTGTGTGAGGGGGAAATTTGCCTTTTAGAGAGACTGTGCCTTTGCCCCTGGGTCTGTGAGTGTATATGTTTATATATGTGTGTGTGCGTGTGCGTGTGTGTGTTTGTGTGTGCCTGGGTATGCTGGCCACTGCCACTGGATGTAGCTCCATGCAAAGTAGTTTGCAATGCCATCAAGCCTTGAAGCAAAATGCAAATGTGAGAAGGATTGACGGGACTGCTTTCATTCTGAAATGTCCTCTTTCCACCATTTAAATGTTGAGCGAGAGAAATAAAGCAAGAGAGAGATGGATAAAATGAAAGAGCAGCTCTTTACTGTTTATAAATAATCTAGAAATAGGCATAATTTGAATGAACAGGCCATTGAAAAGTAGGCTGCATATATTTGCATATTGCGCATAGTCGAATAATCGATTGTTCGGATTATGAACCACTATGTTACCAAATAACTCTTATGTAGCTATTACCTTTTAAATTTAGATTGAGATTGTTTTATGCATTTTCTAACTAACAATGGAGACAAAGATGAATATCATTAAAGAATTCACTGTGCAAAGTATCAGCAATAAAAAATAACAGAACTAAATCAGTTTTCTTTTAATTAAGTAAATAAACAAATCAATTGTAAAAAAAATAAATAAGAAAAATAAATTCTACAATCACAGGTCTTTACTGAAACGGAGGAAAGTCAGCATCTCTCTGTGCTCTTGTGAGAGTCTCGATCTCCTCTGAGAGCAGATATTCACCGCTGCAGGGGACACGCGCTCTCATGGAGCGGACGAGAAAGTGGCGAACGTTTGTGGCAAACTTGTTCTCTACACAGTTAAATGTGAACGATTTTTGGAAACATTTCATTTCATCGGTAACCCTTCGTCCAGCTGCCCTGAAAGTTGACTGAGAACTATCTCCTGTTAGCGAATGGAGCCTAACGTCCGCGGAAAACGGAAAACTTTGCAAATGTTCTCCTCTGTTCGCTAAATTTGAACCCACAACGATGCAGTGTTATACTGTAAACGTAGCTAATTCGGAAAGTGAACAGGGTCGCTGTGAATAATAGTTACTTGCTTCTCTGTTCCAACTCCATTAACGATTCCAGAGAACACGCATTTCGAAATAGAAAATGTTACAGCTCAGCTCAGAACATGAAGTAGGACGGAATTTAACATTAACACTAGCTGACTAGCTCGCTAGCACAACTATTGTCGCGTCCCAAACCACACACTTCTGTACTTCACACACTACACTAATGAGTGCACTTCTAATGGTATATGCGTTATTTTTACACACTATTTAGTGTGCTAGTATGCTGTTTGGGACGCGGCGTATCTTGTCGAGATGAATTTCATCCACTGAGCCGACAAGTTTCCTTTTCAGATGCATTTTCCTCCAACATGGAGGATGTGCTCCTGTGCCAGCTGAGGTCGGCTTTACAAATAGCACCTGATAACATTTTTTCTGAGTTTAGCGTGAAATGCTTCCACATTTTCAGGATTTTGTTGTTGAGGCTGACATCGCGCTTTTGTGAACTCTCCGTTAAGCGGTAATGTCAAAACATTCCCAGTGAGCGCGGGAAAGACGCGTAACGACGTCACCGACTAATCGACTATTCAATTAGTTGACAACTAATTTGGTCGTATATATATATATATATAAAACAAACATTTTGTATGTGAAGTGGCCTTAATCTGGATGCTGGCAAGCAATTTAGACTTGAGCATACAATAATCAGCTTGGGTTTCAAACAGAAGCCCTTTTCTTATAATGAACACACAAATGGGTAACAAATTAAAGGAGAAGCCAGTGTGTCCATGAAGCCGTATTTGTAAGGCGTTAAGCCACAAGCAGCCAAAATAGCTTTAATGCACCTTGACGCCTTGAGGTAGATTTTACAAATCTTTGGGACTTCACTGGAGGGATGGAGTGCCATTCTTCCAAAAAATATTCTCTCAATTACTGTTCAATTGGGTTGATATCTTGTCTTAATGGTTTTAATTAACATTTTGACTTTGTCTTATCTGAGTTTTGAGTTAAGGTAGACTCAGAAATTGTTCTTAAGGCCAGCTGAGTGCGATGCCTCCATTGAGGTAGTTTAAACAGAGCCTTTTTTTCTATCATTATTGAACAATAAGCTCAAAGAAAATAAAACTTTTCTAAACTTCTCTAAAAACTTCTCACATGTCTAAATCAAATCAGTTTGCTGTTGGTTGAAGATCTAATTGATGCTTCCCAAGATAGCTTAACTGGGTATTATTTATTTGGTGTTGTTCATTGGTTCCAAATCTCAAACATCTCCTGAGGGCAGACTGGAATATTATTATTACTATGTTCTGATTTAATAATAAAAATGGATGTATGTTGTTTGATTTAGATTCATTTGACTTTAAGTAGTGATTCTAAATAAGTTTTAGAGAAGAAGGGACAGAGAATAACCTCACCATCATTTATTTCAAAAAGTTGCAATGCAAATTTGGACTAAGACTATAATACAATATAATAAATATATTATAAAACAAAGTATATTATAAAATATAACATTATTTATTCAGATGTGTCATGTATAGTGAATGTACAATAAACTACAAACAATTTTTTTTCACCTTTCTTTTTTTTATTTTTACATTCTGAAAAAATCTTAATGTAGTCTCGGTCTTGGCCACTCCTGATCTCTGTTTTGATTTGGACTTGATAAATCCAGGTCTCAGTCTTGACACAGACTCACTTCTAATGGTCTTGACTACAACACTACTACTAAGTCACAGTAACTTTGTGCTGAGTTGCAGTGACTCTTCTGTCTAAGGACAGGTGGAACCAAACCATGCCAGCAAAATACCACCACAGCATAACAGAGCCACAGCACCCCTCACTGTAGGGATCAAGCATTTAGGCTTGTACCATTCTCTTGGTGTATACCACACATGCACTTGCCCACTTGTGGAGAAAATGGTGGAGAATAACTCATCTGACTGTATCATTTTTTCCACACCTCTGTAGAACAGAGTCTGGGTCTTTTACACCACTGAACTCTAAAATGAAATGAGGGAGTTGTGCACTGCCATCCACGCCCCAATAATGAACTCTCTTTCAAAGTAATTGATGGTCAACTGGCTCAGCATCTTTGTACATGCCACAGAACACGGTAGGGTATTAATACCTTAATTTTAATGTAGCAGACCTGTCTGGAATTTGCACATGTCGCATTTTTCCACTAATTTATTCAGATTTTCCCTTAATTTATCAACCATCTATATCTTGAATGCTCTATACTTTACAGGAATTATATGCACCTTCTAATTAATTGCTTATTAAATTTTTGTAATAAAATAAAAGGTTTGGCATAAAATTAGTTATTATTCCTGATTACGGCCTTAGCTTAAGCAGCTTTCCACAAGTGCAGGCGAATAGATTTAGCGAAATTTGCAGAAATAACACGGAGGCTAAGGAGTTTGAAGAGAAAAGGATGAAGAAATCAAAGCATTTTAGCTTGGAGTGGAATCCTTGAGGCCTAATCAGCAGAAAACATGGAGGATACAGGGAGACAGTGGGTGCAAATAAAGGGCACAAAACAGGTAGTTGTTGGTAGAAGAAGTAGATTAGTCTTTCTCTGAACTTACGTATTATGTAACTCCTTATGCTGTTGTGTGACTTCAGTGGCTTAAGAACATGCAATACAATGCGTCAACCAATGCACAAGCCAAACAGACCATTACAAATAAACATTCAGTGTCAAGAAATCATGCATTATACATAATCAGCAGATATTAATTATTCAACACATTATGTAACAGTCATGCATTATGCAAAACTACTAACTATTTTTCCTGTTTTAATCAGTGAATATCTAAGTTTATATTCCTCCTACCCTCTGTTCACAGGTAACGTCTCAAAGAATGCAAGGAGTGTTGCTGCTGGTCTTTGCCAAATATTTCCACCTTCCTTTTATCAGAGGTGTACAGACAGAGAACACACGCACTGGGCTGGGTGGAATCTGGGTAAGTCAGCTCTGAATGGTCCTTCATAACTGTGCTAACATACTGTTTCTCAAAACTTGAATAATGTTAACAGTATTCTCTCAAACCAGTTATAGTGGCACTACAGAAAATCTACAATAAAAAGATCCATGCTCCAGTTGTTCTTCCTGTTCCTTCTTTAGTTGTTTATTGTTTTTTTCCCACTTATATGGATTTTTCTTTCAATAATTTAGTTAAACAGTGCATTATTGACAGATGTGATTGTCAGTCAACAGTTCTTGTCAGTTGTAAAGTCTCAGTACTTTAACTTAAATAAATAACAGAAATGTATATGAGTAGTACACATAATTACTAATATAAATACACTGGGGGTGGAGCTACCCATAATTCTTTGCGCTTTAGGTATAGGATTCTGTGGTACCTCTTAATTCATTCATAAACTTATTTATTTTAACATTTATGTGTGTGTTATGTCATGTTATGTTTATTGCATGTCCAGGCAAAACAGCCATTAAGAACAAGTTATTCTTTTTCCAGCATCAAGAAAAAAGCAGAAAACATATACATTACACAGAAGCCTGAACTACTAAATATAATATTTTTCAGCACTTATTGTGTCCACACTTTAGCTTCCATTCTTTTCAGGAGACTTTTTTTCAAAGAAATCAGCCAGGATATTTGATCATACCTCCAAAGTTCAGTCTTATAGGTTGGTTGCATTTTCGCGATCCAAATAATCCCAGACACATTCAGTGATGTTGAGGTTTCAGCTCTGGAGTGTTCAGACCATTGTTCTGAGAATGCTAGCAGCTTCTTTGTTTTATTTGCAAGACCTGGTGGACCACCAAAGTGTCACCATCAGATAAAGAGTATTTAAATTAGTCTCCACTCTTGCTTTAGATCTGAAAGAAAATCTGTGATGTGTCTGTCTGTGACGAGGCCTACCCCATCACCAATGAATACCATCCCTTTTAAAGGGAGTTGGGTTTTTAGGAGTCCAATTTTCTCCATATATTTTAATTGTTTTTTGAACTTCAGTTCTGGAAACTCCTGTTATTTTTCATATATTGTCATATATGATATACAATGACTGGCCACTTCATTATATACAGCTGTGCTGTATCTATACTCATTGTCCAAATGATCAGGTCCACTTTGAAGTTCTACAGTTACAGATTGTAGTCCATCTGTTTCTCTGAAGAATTTTACCCTCTTCTTTAATGGTCAGAACCCCAACAGGACCACCACAGAGCAGTCATTATTTGAGTGGTGGATCATTCTCAGCACTGCAGTGACACTGATGTGGTGGTGACTTGTTAGTGAGTGTTGTGCTGGTACAAATGGATCAGACACAGCAGTGCTGCTGGAGTTTTTAAATACTGTGTCCACTAACTGTCCACTCTATTAGACACTCCTACCTTGTTGGTCCGCCTTGTAAATGTAAAGTCAGAGAAAATAGCTCATCTGTTGCTCCACAGTTTTAGTCATCCTCTAGTCCTTCACCAGTGGTCAGAGGATGTGGCCCACAGGACGTGTTGGCTGGATATTTTGGTTGGTGGACTATTTTCAGACCAGCAGTGACACTGAGCAACAGCAGTGCTGTATCTGATTCACTCATACCAGCACAACATACATTACCACACCACCACCATGGCAGTGTCACTGCAGTGCTGAGAATGATCCATCATCTAAATAATATCTGCTCTGTATTGGTCCTGTGGGGTCATGACTATTGAGGAACAGAGTAAAAGAGAGCTAACAAATTCTCCAGAGAAACAGATGGACTACAGCCTGTAACTGTAAAACTACAAAGGGCACATTTATGGTAAGTGTAGCTGAAAAAATGGATGAAGATTGTAGATGTGTACAAAGTAGTGTACTTAATGAAGTGGCTAGTTGGTGTATTTTGTGTGTTATGTGTATTTGTATGTATGTGATCTATAGATAACTTACCTCTTATAAAAGGTTCAGAAAGTGTCCTGCAGGTCAATAGTGACATATTCATTAACAACAAACATTACAGTCAAGCTTGAAACAGTCAGCAGTCAAATTGTTTTACTAGTAATGCTATCCACAATCTTTCCACCTGGATCACAGTCAGTTTTATTGCCTGTGGCTACTGACAATATGTGGCACAGCTTGGATTTGACATGTGCCTGCACCTCTATGCCATTGTCAGTATTTGTGTCATTTACATCTCAATGGATTGCTTTGTTTCAGACTTATGTAGAGAACATCTAAAATATTCAACATGTGCTGAGCAGCTTGCTTTAATGATCTACACTTCTACCCTGAGTTAACTAAAAATGTAAAAGAGATTTTTGGATTTTAAATGTATACCATCACAATGCATTCAGAAGCGAATTGACTGATACTGATATTGACATGTAGAGTGGCCAAGAGAGTCAACATGACAGCATTTATGAAGGAAACAAAAGACGAGAACATGACAATATTAAAGCAGAACACAACATTAAGAGAAAAGACAACAACATTATGGCAGAAGACAACAGCATTAGAAAAAACACAATAGCATTAAAAAGGACACAACAGCTTTAAGGCAGAAGACAACAACATTAAAACAGTACACAACAGCAGTACGGAGGAACACAACAGCATTAAGGCAGAACACAACAGAACTAGAATTGAATCTGTAACATGGTTTGAGGAGCTGTTAGCCTGATAGTTAAACTAATAAGCTAAATGTTCATGTGTTCTTCTAATATTGTTGTGATCTGCCTTATGTTTTTGTGTTCTGCCTGTTTATTATCTGACTGGCTGTTTATTTTATGTGCTGTATATGTTCCATCTCACACACCTACCCTTCTTCATGCTTCTTCATGCTCTTTCTTGCAGGGCAATAAAGGTGGAGTGAGTGCTCGCATGAGCGTGTTTGGCCACTCGATCTGTTTCTTGAATTGCCACCTGCCTGCACACATGGAGAACTCGGACCAGCGCATGGAGGATTTTGAGAGCATTCTGCAGCAGCAGCAGTTTGAAGGTCAAGCTGCCATGGGAGTCCTGGATCATGAGTGAGTTCCACACAAATAGACCCATACCTCTGTCACGGCAACACTGCAGCTCCATAATATAAATATGTTGTTGCATAGAAGCTACTGAGAAATTCATCAGTTGATTTGATCATAAGCATACTGTTTAGATGTAGATTTGCCAAACAGTTGCAACGATATTAGCATGAGGATTTGTCATGCATTATTTGGGATTATGCTAATAGACTGTAAGGCTCTTTAAGGCAAAAAGTTTCAGAGGTTAAAAAAGGCCAATTCTTGTTATTTGCAGTGTTGTTTTCTGGTTTGGGGATCTAAACTTTCGTATTGAAGACTTGGAGATGCACATGGTCAAGGCAGCTATTGATAACAACAAACTTTCTATGCTATGGGAAAAAGACCAGGTAAGAGACAATAAATAAAGTTTATTGTTTAAAAACAGTATTACAAAAAAACATTGTCTAAATGCCTTCATTTAGATCTGGCCTGGCTAATTAGCCAAGCTATTTGACTGCAGCAAGCTTCATAGACAAACAGTCTGGGAATTCACTTTGATGTTTTTGGCACAAGGTAGAGCTGATTAAAAGTCTTTGTGCTGGTTGGATGAAGTGTTGGATTCTTGTGCCTCGTATTTGTTCACCTCTTGATGCTGGGAAATCTGTCACATCATTGAATAGCCTTCATGTCCTGAACAGCCAGGACATAAGCCAGACACTACTGACTGGGCAGGAAATACCCAAAACATGCTTGCTTTTCTCCAACTAAATCAGTAAAAAACTGAAATATTTATCTTGGGTACTAAATGCTTTATGAGAAGCTTGGTTCTTTAGCTTCATATACCAAACCTGAAGTATGAAACCTGGTTGTAATCTTAGACTTTGAGCTCTTTTTATCCTGCATGTAACCAGTCATGAAAGTAGCTCTTTATTATTTGAGAAATATGGCGAACGTTCTGCCTTTTTTATTGGCAATGCAGAGAAACTTGTTCATGCAAGTTACAAGCAGTTTGTTTCTGTAATGCTCTTCTTACTGAGCTTTGTAAGACAACAGTCCATTCTCTACAATTTATACAAAATTCGGAGCATGGATCTTAATAAAAACAAAAAGAGAGATCATATCACTCCCATTTTGAAAGAACTGCACTGGCTACCTGTATCTTTGAGGAAAGATTTTTAAGTTCTGCTAATAGTTTTTTAAAGCTCTAAATGACCCTAAAGCACCCACTTATGTCACAGAATGTGTGTCTGTTCCAGCTCGTGTTGTTATATCTCCAGATACTGACTGACCTTCTGCAAATACCTTCTGTAAAATACAGAAAACAGAGAGGTCTCGTTCAGTTATTATGCTTCTAAACTGTGGATGCTGTATTTAAATGTAAAGCATTATTATTATTATTATTATTATTATTATTACAATACAGTGGCTCATTGTTTGGGAACCCATGTTTTAGTATAAATCTAAAACATCTCTTCTACCAGCTTAATAATTATTGCAGGTTCTTGTGCAAAACAAGTATTTGTTTTCATGTTGCCTGATCTTATTGTCATCTGTCTAGTTGAACATGGCCAAAGATAGTGAAACTGTACTGGAAGGCTTTGAGGAAGGACCACTCAAATTCCCTCCAACCTACAAGTTTGATGTGGGGACAAACACATATGACACCAGGTACAGTTAAGTTTAAACTACTCCTTCTAACATAGAAAGCCCTGCATGGCCTAGCTCCTAAATAACTGAACTTCTCCATCCCTACACTTCTACTCATACTCTCAGTCTAGCACTGCACTCTTGGCTCTTTGACTCTTGTCATTACTTTCTTCCTTCAAAGCCCAACTTAAAACATTTCTGTTTACACAACACTTTCATGCTCCTTTGTTTTTCTCCCTCCACAATAGGTATAATATAAATGCTTTTATTGATTGTTGTTATATTGTCGTATGTACTTTGGCTTGTACAGGGACCTTGGGTATGAGAAAGGCAGTATATAAAATCAAACATATTATTATTATTATTATTATTATTATTATTATTATTATTATTACATTTGGGGAAAGATTTAATAATTTAGTAGTTGTTTAGCTACAGTACTGTGCAAAAGCCAGAGACCATCATTCATATGTATTTAATTTCCAGTGAAAACGGCCATCATATATAAAGTTATAAATTTTTCAGGAGAAAATTATGAGAAGATTATATATAAGATAATCCACTTACATATGGAAGAGAAAGACAAAGAAAAATAAGTGAAAATAGAGGAGTTCAAGATAGAGGAGACTCCTGACAACTGTGCAAGACCTGGTAGACCACCAAAACCTTGTAGAACATCACTGAGCGTGTTCGGGATTATGTGGATCATGAGAAGTAGAAACTACAACAAACATCTAAGACTAAACTTTCACTATAGGCAGTTTTCGAGATGCACATTTCAGATACAACCATATGTCTATGTATGGATTTCCTCAAATAATAAATTCACTTCACGTTTCAAGTTGAATTAATTGCTTAAATTAAGATGAATTCACATGCAACAAAATCCTCTGAATTGAATTAACACTGACAGTGTTGAAGTAACACCTAGTGTGTTACTTTATTTACTTTATAAGTCCAGATGGAAACGAACACTATAAACACTGTTTACTGTAAACTGGGGATTTTTCTTTGAATGTAACTGGTCCTAACCTTAATAACCCCATATATCTATCCTTTAACTCTTTTAGCCAATTTGTGTGTAGTTTTCTTTAGAGATTACATGACAGTGTGAACAATTTGTAACAGTGTCACAATGTGTACCTTAAATAGCCAAATCCACCAATTATAAAAATGTCTGGATACTTCTGGGCATATAGTATATCTTACTGTGCAGAAATAGAAATACTGTGCAGGATTAGGGGATTTGGAGACCTCTCTGGTGGAAATATGTAATTGCATGCAACATGCAGAAAAATGTTTAATAACATTGCTTGTTCTTTGCACCCTCACAAGTAGATGAATCTGACTTTTGTGAGTGCATTGAGAGAGTATTTAAAGAGAACTCAAAATGTAGTGAAGGATGTGTGTGAATTATCATCATTGTCATCATATCTTCATCAGAATGATGATTTTGCCTTTGATACCTAAACATAGACCTTCTTTTTGAGCCTATGCGTGTGACGTTAATACGTGAGGACGTTTTAAGACGTGGTCAAAAAACACCCGCAAAATCGGTCTTGGTACCTCTGACCTTTAAATTATTATGTCAGGCTTTACAGGGTGACTCGCAGCCGTGCACACTTTCCATTTATTAGTGTGTTCTCCATTTATCGTTAATGCTACTTATTTCAATTTTAGCAAAAAAATTACATGGTACTGCGTTAAGGCTAGGGCTGGGCGATATGACAATTATCATTATCTTGATAAATTATGTCACAATAAGCCTTTCTGAGCATATCATGATATCGTCAGTACTTCTAGAAATCAACCACCTGTGTGTTTTATTACAAACAGAACATCAGTCCAGGTTAATTAATGCAGTGCAGTGTGTGTGAAATCTTATTTAAAAATCTTTTGGAAGTATTTTTAGATGTGGCACCACTGGTTCTTTTTTGTCCGTTCCAACTCATCAGATGTCTGAAAAAATAAAAAGTTGTGACATTGTATGTTGTGAAAATTTCTTGAAATATCATGGTATTAGATTACGCCATATTTGATCAAACCTATTTAAGGCTAATAAAATCTGTAGCAGCCTATTCTTACCTAGAAGTGGTCATCCCAAACACTGTGTAAGTATGAGTCCTGAAAACTACATGCCAGTCACAGTCATTTTATTCAAAAAAGATTGTTGCTATGGAGTTTTATTCCTGTCTCTTCTTCACTGAGCGCTGCAGAGTGGCTAATTTTTTTTATTTTTTTGGCTAGCTTTTTTTAATTTTAGTGAGTTCTACTGAAAACATTTTATGTTAAGTCTATAATTTATCGCTTATGTGTGTGTATGTGTATTTTCTTAGTGGGAAGAAGCGTAAGCCGGCATGGACTGATCGTATTCTCTGGCGTTTGAGGCCAATGGCACCTGCTAGCAACAACATGTCCAAGCGCAGCTCTCTGTCAGGTCTGACCAGTGGCACCCGAGTGACCCAGCACTTTTACCGTAGCCACATGGAGTACACTGTCAGTGACCACAAGCCAGTCTCCTCTATTTTCACCCTGCAGGTTAGCACACAGTAGCTGAATTTGATAGGAAAGTTGAGGAAGTTCATGTCAGAACTGTGTAGCAGTATAATCTTTAACATGCAATGGTCTCCACAGTTCCCGTATAAGGTGGACATCCCTTTAGTGACAATTATCGTAGAGGATGAGTGGAGAGAAGTAATTGACGCCGTTGCCAAATTCAAGGTTGCACCCAACTACTCCCGAAGTTCCTGGGATTGGATTGGTCTTTACAAGGTACATCCACATCCACAATTTTAGAATTTTAGAACATATTAAGAATGTTTTATTAGGTTTAAATGAGATTAGTACTATCAGGAATTAATGACTGATAATTAGAAATACAACATAAATAATGTAAGATTCGATAGCTGACGTTTAAGTAATATGGCTTTCCAGGTTGGATTCAAACATCACAAAGATTATGTGGGTTATACTTGGGCTAAGCAGGAAGAATCAGATTACCTGAGACAGGAGCACCAAGTAAGACCTGTCACAGTTTTTTATCCAACAAACAACATACATACTTGTTTATTCTCCATGTACTTTTAGTAGAAAACGTAGCTGCATCAGTATTTGATTATGAGTTTCCATTTGTTTCCACTTTTCTAGGTTACCTTTGCAGAGGAGGAGTTGCCAAAAGAATCTGGGGACTTCATCCTGGGTTATTATAGCAACAATATGAGCTCTATCGTGGGTGTTACAGAGCCATTCCAGGTAACTGTTGTTAATCAAAGTGAGATTGCTAACGAAAGCCCTAATTCCATTACTTTACAGAAATATTTATGAGTTGCATATATGCAAATATGGAAAGGAAGGTGAGAAAACCTCCAGTCAAGGCATTAGATGCACACCAGGGGCACGTTTAGCCTTGATATTAACATCTATTAGTTACCGATAAAAGTGAAGCTTTTAAAAAAATGAGCTCAAAATGTGGTGTAACACAAATAGAGTGTGGGGTACGAGGTAAAACAAGGTCACATATAAATTAGATTTTCATGTAATATGTATTAAACAGGTTTAATTAAAATGTTTTTTGGTCATCTTTTTGTTTTCTCATAGCAATGTCATCTACGATTTTTGACAGCAATCAGACAGATATTTCAGAGATTCACCTAAAAGACCCTGAAAAGTAACTTTTTTGTATAGGGATCACAAAACTCACATTTATATTATTTTATTCACCCTCTTTGTGGCTGTAATATACCATTTTGATGCACAGAAACACCTCACAGTGAGAGCTGGCCAGGGTAAAGTGCAGCCTCCACACAACTGGGTTACGCACTGTTATAACTAAGATCCCTAGGTATAAATAAAATAAATTTTATATCATATAAATAAAATTGACTTTAAAAAGTTTAAAGTAACTTTTACACTCAGATGGCTTTTGGCTAAATGGTATAACACCCCCAAGGCACCTCACAGAAACACAGGGGCCTGTGGCAGATGTCACAATATTAGGGAACATGTAATTAATTTCTGCTATAGTGTTGTTTTAAACTCTTTTCATTTTCCTGCAGATTCAACTGCCCTCCTCCAGTGAAGCTGGCCTCAGCCCCTCAGACAGTTCAGATTTTACTTCCGAGGATGAGATCAAGCAGGCAGAGTCATGTGACTCCAGCCCTGTGCGAAATAAGAAGGGTAGCAGCAGCAGCAGCAGGAGCCACACACCTACTGAAGGGCAGATGGAAAGTTCCAGCAATCCCTACTCCAGAGACACCTCGCCACATTCCTCCTCTGCCGTAACGGGTTGTAGCACTCCCAAAAGGAACAACTCCTCTGATGGTGCAAACTCAGGGAAGAACACCGGCAAGCCCTAGATAAGCACACTGTTGAGAACGATGGATTGTATATACAAGGCAGAAGCTGAAGGATTCTCTTGGGGGTTTTATAACGTCTTCGTGCAGTTGCTTTAATGTGAAGTCGTTCGTTATGTGGAGATGTTGTCTTATGTGTTGTAGTGGTGCAGGGCAGACATAGGCCTTTAGTGAGCAGCTCCCTCCATGACAATTAAGAGGGTGGGCTGAGTTATTGTCCGTGCCTGTTTCGCAGTAAACTGAAATCATACCATACGCACATTTTTTTATTTTCTCTTCTTTTTCCCTATCTCAGCATGTTAAATGGTTCAATTCTGGGACAGTAAGAAGTAGCACAGCAAGAGGTACACAAGCACATCAGAGAGATTTCATGAAAAATATTACTTGGTTTGGTTTATACCAATTTGTATTCATTAATTGCATCTAGCGTCTACTATGATATGTGCTGAATACATCACAGTCTTTGCCAAGGCTCTGAGAAACTGCCAGGTTTTTATTTGTAGATCAGCCAACCAGACTGACAGCACAAATGAGAGTAGAGCTTTGGATCTTCCACTGCTTACAAATCCTATTTGCCTGTGCAGAGGTACACTGGGATTTCAACAAGGCACTGTTCTTGTGTTTACAATATGGTTTGTCTTTTCTACCAGTGTGGTGAGTAGATGGAGGTATATTTTAACATTTCTGTGTGTGTATGTGTGTAAAGATTGCAAGATATTTATTTTCTTATATGAATTACAACCGGGCAGGTCATTCCATTGCACATTTAAACATATTTTACATTTCCACACAGCTAATACATTATTCTATAAAAAGACTTTAATTTAACAGATAAGAATATTATTAAGTCAATTATTGTTAAGTCTTAACCACAATCTTGTCATGACCTTGACTGTACAGGTTTAATCATGTAATTAGTTATTTGCAAGGTTCCTGCTGTGCTGTGATACAGTGTTCTTGTTACAGTAGATGTCTTCTAAAAGACTTTGCCTGAAAACTCTGAAGTCACGTTCTTCCCCTTTTTCTTGATAATCCAAAGCAACCAGAAATGTTATGATGTGCCAATCCAAGGAAATGAGCAGTCATTCACTTTTTTGCCAGTTATCATTAGTAGTTTAGTTTGATATTGAAGGCAGGTCTTATGAGACAACAGAAGAAAAGAACAGAAAGGTAAAATGATCAATGAAATTACAGGGCTAATACTCTAAATGATCATCCCTCACAAGTGAAACTTGTAATACTCAATTTCAAAGGTGTAGAAGGACGTTTCGTCAAAGTTTTTGTGGCTAGATTTGAGCTTTAGTCTGTATCCAAAAGTGCTGCGCCTCTACTGTAACTGTGGTAGGAATCCTATGGCATTCTATGTTGTCTAGTTTTCTAGGATTTGTCCTCTGTGGTGTCTTCTCTTCTCTCGCTTCTTCTCTTCTCTTCTCTTCTCTTCTCTTCTCTTCTCTTTGTAGTATGCACAATGCTGTCTCCAGCAGCAATATGTCGGAGTAGTAACTAGTGAATCTCAGTGCACCATTTTGGACGTTTTGTGCCATGACTACTTAGCTTTTTGACACAGTGTGCTGTCTCGCTGTACTGTGATGGTGAGATAGAGTGTATGTATTTGATTATGTACATGTGTTTGCATGGCCATATGTCATGATATGGTGATACATTATGCTGTCAAACTCCTTTTAATACTGATGTGGGAATTGGTGTGGGAAAATTTTATTAAGGTCAGATAAAATGAAGGGAATTAAGGTGCTTTATGTAGTGTTATTTATTTTTGCCTTTTTAAGGTTACTGTCATATTGAAACGCAACATAAGCAAAGTCATTTTTAGAGATCTTCACCACTAGAGAAATAATCATGTGCAAACGTTTGGGCAGCTCTATTGCAAAGGCGTTTGTCAGATTTGCTGGAATTTAATTGGAATTTGCAGGCATCTTGTCGTTTTTTTTAGTAATAACAAATTGCAGGTATTTAGCACAATCCTCAGACGAACAATTCGCTTTCCACTGGGACTGTTTTTCCAAAAATTACCTTAAGAGGCTTAGTTCCCACATCCATATTAGGACAACTCAGGACATCTGCAATATATTGCAACTCTCAGCACAGGATTCTGTTGCACAAAAGGGCACACAAAAGTAATAGGCATGCTTTCTTTGTTACTCTAATGTAATCTTTCTAGCACATGAAAAGCCCTAAAACATACATTTCTGCAGTATAAAAAGAATTACAGTTCTTGACTGATACTTGTTTTCATCTTGGTCAGGTCTTTAGACAAAATGTCTTGGATTAAAAAGTAATTTGGAAGTATAAAAAGTATTGGAAAATCTAATTTCTCAGTAGTTTCTTACCTTAGGCACCAAACAAAAAAAACAGATTTTCCTACTAACAAGGGCACCCTTTTGCTTTAACTGTTTTCATATTTGGAGTGTCTTCAGAACTGGACCAGTTTTTTGAGATTGGAAACAGCAGCTGTTTTCCTGGAAATGTAGACAGTGGAAACACAGTCTACTTCTGAATCTGATTAGATGAACATCTCAAATGTTTTGTTTGTACATGACAAAATGATAAGCTCTAGCAGGGCTACTAAATTCAGTAACCAAGCAATGTGACTGAAAAGCATTTCATGGCCAACCACAGACTTAGTCTAACTTTACATATTGCCATTACATTGATTAATTTGGTGGTGAAGATTGGGTAAGGATTATGGCTACACATGCAATGGAACAATATCTCCAGAATCCCATCACTGAAACAAGCCGGATAGTTAGAAATGTACTGTAGGAAAGAGCATTTATTTAAACAAGGGGTGCCCAGTCCTGGTCTTAGAGATCTACACTATAACACCTAACATAATGAAGGCCTTCAGGGGCATCTGCACATTAGATCCAGGTGTGTTGGATCTGAACTCTCCAGGATGGTAGATCTCGGGAGCAAGGATTAAGCCCCCCTGATTTAAACAGTGTCAGAGAAGTCAGTTTCTGGTTTCCAGTTGCAGGAAAATGGGAAGCCAAAACCAGAAAAACCTGCCTTTAATATTATTCCGTATTGAATTTATGTTTTAGTGCTTTATACAATGTTCTAAGGAAAGAACATAATATTCATGCATATTGGTAAGGAATGTTATTGTTGAAATAATGTAGAGATTCTTGATGGAAATTATGTGTATATGAAGTAGATGTAAAGAATAGATGATAATCAATGCCAAAAAATAGAGGATATTCTATGTATATGATGTGCATTAATTTATTTTTTCATTGCAGTTTATTTATTTACTGTATGTAAAATGTCATTCTGCTGGCCAGTGTCTTATAGGCATTATAAAGAGGATTGTTTTTATTTTAATTGTTCTCTTTTAAATATTCCTTCTTTGAATTGATATGTTATGCATTTCTTTAAATTCACAGCTTAAATTGGTATCACATCTTCAATCTTTACAGTTCTTTATGTTCACCTCATTTTACATTTTATAAGTTGTATAATTTACTGTAGTCTATAGTTTCACATATTCATTTGATGAAGGATATCTTGTGAAGGGAGCCATCTGGCCATTGTTGTCCAAACATTATTGTCCAAGAGAAAATAAATCCCTAGTTGAAAATAAATCAAAGTTGAAAAGTAACATTCTGGTCTTGGCAGTTTCACTTTATAAAATGTAAACATGTATAAAATGTACACAGCAAGGTTTGATCTCAGTTTCATCAGCAGTTCCACAATAAAATCTGGATGCGATACAGTCGCACACAATGCAGTTACTCATTGCAAATGACTACTGCTGAATAGTGCTTAAAATCCCCAAAAGCATACACAAAAAACAGAAATGACTTGAAGAAATTCACAAATATGTCCAAGTAAGTTATAATGCTAAATATCTCAAGTTGTACATCTCAAGATGATTTCCTTGATGAAGTTAATTGAACCAGGTTTAGAATAAGATATAATGTGAACTTATTATAATGGGCATGAACTTATCATAATGTATTACAAAGTGTCTTTCCAGAAAACACTAAGCAAGGGAGGTGGGACTGTGGGAGTGCAGAAAAAGACAACATGTCTTGTCGTGTCTTTTTAAGCTATTTGTAATATAATGCTTATAAAGCAAGGCATATACAGATTGTAAACATTATTTCAAGTAATTTACTCATACCGTGATATGCAAATGGTCAGATTATTTGTTGTGTTGATTACGTGAAAATAAATTAACATATTCTCTGCAGGAAAAAAAAAACTTAAAAATGGCATTTTCTGTAAATTTTACTGCACAATTTCTTGTGCCCGAGTTTAACATTTCAAAAAAAAGAAAACCTAACAAAAAATGTGCCATGGCTTTTGCACAGGCCACATTTGATGCTTTTTTTCTAATGTAAGTTATATTCAGCAAATAAACTGTAGTTGTGCATTGAAATTTGCAAAAGTATGTTGTCTATAGAGGATGTGTTGACTTATTTTCACTCCAAACAAAACATTTAATTTGACCAGGGGTACGCAAACTTTTGCATGTAAATGTACACTATGTTTAATATTTCAAACCAAATCTCATTATAATAGCACAAAGAGTATATCATTGTAAGTATATAATTTCTTATTTAAACTTTTTACCATTTATTCTGCAAAAATGAACAGTGAAAACACCCTATAATTATATTCGACCAAAATAATATATTCTTCAGGCGCCATATTAAAAAATTACATGTACTGCATGTGAAAGTACTTCTAGTCATTCGAAATGCAATATTGCATATTTTTAAATGCATATTTAGCTGCAAAATATTTGTTATGTAGTAACAACATATTGCTGTAAAGACCGCATTACTAAAAGAATATGCATATTACATATTATATATCATGTATTATAATGAGATGACATGCTGACAATAGTGAAGCCAATGTGACTCAGCAAAAGAATTCATTTCTTTAATAGTTATTATATTTTTAGATTGTTGTGGTCAGTATTATTTCCATTACTTGTGAGTTGGTAATGCCACCTTTACTATCTTTGATCTTCTCTTCAAGATACATCATGGGAAAATTAAAATGTTCCCTTGTGTTTTAACAGGAAGCCAAAAAATGTTTCAGAGATGAGAATGTTGTGCATGGACATGAAATTTTTAAAGAATTACAGCGTGAATTTTTATGCAGTATTAGAAAAGACTCCACCCTGGCCAAACATCTGGCTACAATGCAGTAATGAAAATTATGGCTTCAAATACATTAAAAAATTTTAATAAAATGTTCACATTTTTTCATTTTAGGTGCAATGTGTGTGTATTTAGGTCACACTATGTCCATTTATCACAATTTGAATTGTTCTTTGCCTTTTTAAACACATTAGAATCATTAATCAGCTTGAATGTGGTGAAGCACCACCACTAGTGCCCACTAGAGGGACACAGCAGAAAAAAAATACATAAAATCTTCTCACTGCTAGCACTGCACAGGGTGCATTTTTCCCCTCATGTGTGTCACATTATGAAAGACTTGACAGTAAACTGATGAGTGGGATGAGGTGTGTTAAAGCAGGAAAAAAAAAAAGATTCCTTCACTGTGATTTAGCCTTTTACACCAATATCTGGCCTAGATTATTCATTAACTACTGGCATGACAGTGAAAGTTATATATTAAAGAACCGCTATATCAGAAGTTACCTTTAAGCATGTTATTTATGTAATGGGCACCTTATGTGACCTTTCTTTGCTTTGTGGTGGGCCAAAGAACAAGGCTTGTTCTTCTGCTGAGCCTATACAATTAATCCCATTTATACTCATCAACTACCGGAATACCCACTGCAGCTAACAGAGATACTAGTTCTGGGGTTATTTACTATTCTCTCTTTTGGCATGTAGACTTTATAAGTTAAAAGGCTATACTGGCTAAAGTATTTAGCTTTTAATAAAACCTGATGAAAAGCTGCAAACCTTTCTTTTGTTTATTTGTTGTCTTGCTGTAGAATACATTACTGTAAAGGTCATGTAAAATTTAAGCTGGATATGAAAAACAGTTATAATAGTCCTTTGTAATTTAAGTCTTTACACATTACAAAGAAGTTAATGTCCCCAGTACACTTTATGCCAGTGTTGTAAAAAGTACTCAAAAATCATACTTGAGTTTGAAGTTTTCTCAGCCAAACAGCACTTAATTGAAAGCAAAACATTTTCAAGTACTCAAATACTAATAGTGTGTGTACATTGTAATCTCAAATACGATATTAAACAAACAAGCAGGAGTTTCCTTTTAAAACCCACACTGTTATAAACATTAAAAATATGGAAGTACATGCTTTTTTTTAAACACAAGTATCTCAGTGTGTAACTGCACACACAGTAGACATTTCATTCTGTAGCATTTTGCAACAGAACAGAACACTTCCTTCAAATTGTTTTTGGTTGTTTTATTTATTTTCTCTGTGGCTGATAATTTAGCAGATACTGTTACAGCAAATGGAGAGCCTGACAAATGCACTGTTTTGAGCATTTCTCAATTTCTCATTGAGAAATTCTGTGCTCTCAGGGACAAAGATTTAGAAAAGTAGTGAAATAAAAGTTACTGTTGCAACCATTTTAAATGGTCAAGTAAAAGGGGACCTCTCCACATAGGTGGCTGTGCATAGATAAAACAGACAGCAACTTTTTTGATATCAAAAAATCATGCACAACTGCCACAACTGATTCGCTGCTAACCAACAAAGATAAAAGTCCACTTGGCTTCCAGTTTTATAAATCATACACATTTCCATTTAAATGTATTCCAACAATGTTGTTAAAGAATAGGCATAGTTTAACTGACCTCCAAAAAAGGCATTCATTTTATGGCTACTGTGAAAAAGGATTAAAGTACAGCAACAAAGTCATTACTTCGCATTCCTGCTTTATATATATCTCAAACAAGCAACTGACCTAATCACAAAGCACAAACGAACAGTCATGGACTAGACCACTGATAAGGCACGTAGTGGTGGGATTTGACTGTTGGGATTTTTGCTGACAGCTTGTTTTGCGCTGCCAACTTCCTGGTCCCACGCAAGCAATGACTTACTTGATCATCCTGCACATTATGTAATACACAAGCCAGGACTTGATGATTATTCAGCATACTGTATAATAGAAATTCATTAGAGTCAGTATGACAATGTCATATGGCTGGCCTTTCACTTGACCCAAGGCTCTTAAGTGTTAAAAGTGGTTGATTGGTGGTATGATGGAACCATAGTATGTCTGGAAATCAATGTTATGTAACACTGTAATTATGTAATAGCCATTGTTTGGGAGATTTGTAAGAAAAACAATACTATCCTGCTTTCTATTATTACTATGGGAAAGAAGAGGTGTGTTTTTTTTAAGTGTGTTGGCATGTGTATGTTAGCTCTGGGGCCTTTCTGATGCAATACTTGGCTGCAGTTGGGAGGTGTGGTATTAGCCAGTGCCATTGTGTTAGAGACTCATGCCCCAAATCTGCTGTCTCACTGTGACGTTGTGGACGACTTAATTTTGCATTCAGTAATTCTGACTAATCAAATTCAAGTTTCTGTGTGTGTTGGTGTGTATTTTTGTGAGCATTTATACCTTACCTTGCATTCCGTGGTGAAAAAAAACACAACACAGTTTATTCCGGTTTATGCTGGTCTAGTGCTGGTTTAGATGGCCACCCAGCATGGTCATACTGGTTTCCCAGCATACCAACACTAAAACACAACATATGCTGGTTTTGCTGGTGATCAGCCTTTTTGTTTAAATTGCTGCTAATGAGCATACCAGCATCCAAAACACAGCATATGCTGGTGAATGAGCATGCTGGTCTATGCTAGTTTTTCTAGCAGGGTTCCACTTCCACTAGATTAAAATCATTTTGCTTCGAGTGACTTATACCATAATTATGTGTATTTTATTAAAAGAATGCTAGCCACTACATGACTACACCAGAAGTCATGATATTTCCAAAAGACAAAATGCTTACTTAATTGCAGAAAAAAATGATTTGTTGTTTCAAGTTTTTAGTGACAATTGCTAAACTTTCATTTTGAGACACTTTTATTTCAAAGCAAAGGGATCTAACTTCTCACCATGTGGCCATGAGGGATGGGGATGCAGTTTCACTTCCTAAAATCAAGCTCCACCTATGGAGCAAAACTCTTTGTGTTTCAGTAGTGACATGAAAATGTTGGGCCAGCAAGTTTTTTATTTAAAAATTACACTCATGATAAATCTAAATCTTTCAACTTTTTAAAAATAATCAAAAAGGTCTTTAGTAAAAAGAAACAAACAAACAAGATACAACAAAAAAAATATTTTCACAAGTTGAGATTTAGGAGTTAACTTATTGTCAATATTAATGCATTGAGTTTAAATTGATCATAATATAATCCTTATGGTTTTTTTTGTCTTTTTGTTAGTTTTTTGCACCGCAGTTTGAACTGGTTCAGTAGAATGGTATGCACACACACACACACACACACACACACACTACATATATATATTATATATATATATATATATTATATATATAGATAGATAGATACCACACATGGTATTATACAAGGATGGTACTGTAGAAGGGTATTCTCTTTTTACTGGCATTACTGACTTACTAGCCTATTAGCCTACTGCTCCCACAA